GAGAGGGAGGCGCGGGTCCTTAGAGCCGAATGCCAGACTCCTCTTGTGTGAATGTCAAGAATCGGGGGGAGAGAGTCCTCTGTCAAATGGAGGCTTCGGCCTCTATTAGGGCACCAAGGGAGCGAGGGTAGATCGGAGCCGTCCGATCAAATTCTTGATCGGACCGTGGGATTCAAATTGGCTCAAGAAAAATCAATCAAGCTTTAATCAAAATTTAGATGGGCTTAATAAACTGAAATTAAGTTCAAATCAAAACCCAATGTGACTTGATTTGAGTTAATTCGAGTTCGACTCGACTCGACCCAAATCAACAAAACCAAACCCAAATTAATCCTGATTCGAATTAAATCGAGCCCGACGAGACTCGACCAATTCGATCAAATGCGCTCGAGGACAAATCAGGACAAAAACGAGGTCAACATGATGAGATTGAGATTCAGGAGAGTCTACAGTACAAAGAAGAACCTGAGAAAATTTTGGCCTATGATGTACGCAAGTTAAGAAGTAAACAAATTCCTATGGTTAAAGTTCAGTGGAAGCACAGAATAGCTCGGGAAGCAACTTGGGAGAAGGAGTCGGACATGAGGCAGTCATATCCGTATTTGTTTTGACTCAGTTTACTTTGGAAATGTCGAGGATGACATTTTTCTTAAGGTGGATAGATTGTAAAACCCCTCCAAAGCTATTTTTTTAGTGCTGTTAGTCCCTGACGAACTGGCCTTAATACGGGACGAAATGAAGAAATTATAAAGAAATCTGTATGGTTCGTTTGTACGAACCTGGAAGGGTCGGGACGAACCAAACAAAGAGTTTCATCCAGGGACGAAGAAATTGGAATTTATTTTCCTCTTGACGATTTGAGTCCAGAGAAGATCGTCCCGGGACGAATCGGGACATCATCCGGGACGATCCTGCTTAATAAATATCTAAATGATGTCGTTTTTGAAGAGAGAGAAAGTCCAGGAGAGAGAAAACCGTGGAAAGAGAAAGAAAAGTGGATTTTTGAGCGACTTCGACACGTTTTCGTCCGTCGCCGTAGTTGGAAAAGTTGATCGACTCGAGGTAAGGCACATTTCGCCTTTCTCAATTTTTAGAAACGTGGATTTTGACGACTTTTCTGTTCCGGATTTTGTTTCTGTTAGCGAATTTCTGGTATTATTTTCTTATAACAAAGGTTTTACCTCGTAACTTTTGGTATGTTTTTGAGATGATAATTGTGCACCTTTTGAGTATGTTCTGGAAGATTTTTACCGGGTATTTTGAATTCTGCTGAGTTTTATTCGAATAACAATTTATCTGGATGTCTGATATTATTACTTCAGTACAGTAAAAGTCTTATAATGTTGTTGTGGATATTCTGTGATAATTTGGTAAATTTCTGAATCTGTGAATTTTGTGTAAATTCCGTATACTGCCGTTATGCCACTGATTTTTCGTACGAATTCTGATTTTTGATACATTTAATGAATTGAAGTATTTGTATGCTATCAAAACGGAGTTATAAGGGGTCAGGATCCTTTGAGATTCTGTAAGTGTTAGGGAAATCTGAAATGAGCTCTGAAATCTGAAAATAAGTTCTTTTCCGAAAATTTCGTATATTTGTTCTGTTCTTGTGCTATAAGCACAAAGGGAGACATAAGGGGCCAGAATCCGTCGAGATTCTGTAAGTGTCAGGAAAGGGAGGCATAAGGGGCCAGAATTCGTAGAGATTCTGTAAGGGTCTGGGAATCTGAAATCGGATATGTGATATGTTATTTGAAATATGATGTTTGATATCTGATAATCTGTGCTGTCTTATACGATATGTTTTATGAATTATCTGATTAGAATTATTTGATATGAATGTGATTTTACCTGATTTCTATACGATTATGGTTATTCCGTACGATTCTGTCTGCTCTATGACTTGAAAGCTTTATGATATCTATTATGAACTCCGATTCGACAAGACTTCAATTGTCTGTATCAGTTGTTTGATTTCAATTGATCAAGTATCTGTTCTATGATTTCCATACAGCTATTTTCTGATGTGAATTTCTGATGATTTTGATTGGTGAGTGATGTCTTGATGAACTGTTAGCTCATCTTTGTTTTCTACGTGGTTTTCAGGTTCTAGGAAAAGGAAGGAGGTCTTCGACTAGAAGTTCTGTGTCTGATCTGAGATTAGGTATTTTGTACTTTTGATTTTGTACAATCATGGCTTTTCTGTTTTGTTCTATTATTTCTGTCTGAAGCCATGGATTGTATTGTTTATGATTGTTCTGATGAAGGAAAAGATAGATGAACTGTTTTGTATTTGGATGTTTATAATAGCTCTGTGTTTTTCTGTCTATTTAATATTTGGAAGAAAGTGTGAAGCAAATTTCAAACCTAGATCCTAGATTTTCAATAGTTCCATCGCGACCCTATGCGAGCAAGATCCGTCCCGATCGGGTTGGGTCGTCACAAAGCGGCAGCCAAATGCATGAAGATGGTTGTATGAGGGTGGAGTATTGTAGAGGAGTTGATAGAAAGATTTGGAGGAGGTGGTGGATGAGGAGAGACAGTTAATGAGGTAAGTGGCAATATGTATATATGCTGTCTAGAATTGGGGTGGAAGTTGGGTATTGACATGAAAGGTGAAAGTTATGTCTAAAAGTTGGCGATGTTTTCCTTCAGCAGTTCCATTTTGCTGGGGAGTGTGGAAGCAAGTATACTGATGGGTTATGCCGGATTGGGATAGGAAGGCGCGGAGAGCATTGTTGAGGAATTCTCCATCGCTGTCAATTCTAAGGGTGTGAATTGGTAAATTTAAATGTTTTTTGATGAGATGTTTGAATTTAACAATAGTTTGAGAGACATCAGACTTTTGTTTGAGCACATAAAGCCATGAATAACGAGTGTAATCATATATTAGGAGTAAATAGTAAGGAATTCCATCATAAGACAAAACAAGGGAAGGTCCCCAAACATTGGCATGCATTAATTGTAATGGGGATTGAGATACATGTTGAGAATGAAAGAAGGAAAGCCTGTGACTTTTAGCTAGTTCACAGGAATTACAAAAGGTAGGGAAAGGAGGAATAGATAAAGTAGGAAATGATTTAGATAAACTAGCAAGAACATGTGTGTTTGGATGACCCAACCGATGATGTCAGGTGTGAGCTGAGGAGGGAGCTTCCAGTGTAAGTGTAATTGCAGGGTCAAAATTTGAGAAGCTTGAGGGTAGATCGGAATCGAATAAAGGTCATTATGGCACGAGCCTTTAAGGAGGGTTCGATTGGTCATCCGATCCTTTACATGAAAGCCAGATTTGTCAAAAACAATGAAACAGTGATTATCATTAATAAGTTTGTATATAGAAAGTAGGTGATGGGTGAGGTTAAGAACATGAAATAATGGAGTGAGAGAGAGCTTATGAGTGGGTGTGGAAAGAAAACCATTACTGTAGTGTTGGATGGGGAGAGGAGCACCCTTGCAAACAAAGACTTGATCCTTGCCAGAATAGGGTGTGGATTGTTTAAGAGGAAGAGGATCCGATGTGAGACGACCAGTAGGACCACTATCTAAATAACAAGGCGAAGGATCAGAATCAGCCAGCAAAGCTACATTGTTGAAGGTAGTTGGAGGAGTGTACTGGAAGTTTCCCCTATGTCAACACGTGAGGGTAGAGTGTCCGTGTTTGCTGCAAATCTGACAATCACCATTAAAGTGAGGCTGCTATATTGAACGCGTATAGTTGTGTGCTGAGATACAACCACGACCGCGATTGTAGGAGAAACGACCTCTGTCATGTCCACAATTTGAAAATAGAGCTAAGGTCAAGTTAGACGACTAAAGAGTATAGGAGAAAGAGAGCTCTTTGACATCATCAGTTGTTTGGTTAACTTCTTCACTGTGAAAAAATAATAGAAATCATCCAGACTAATGGGAAGCAAAGCAGTTCTGATTGTTATTTTGAATGATTGATACGAAGGGAGAAGTCCAATTAAGATGTAGAGAATAATGTCTTCATTGTCCATGGAATCATCCACAGCAATTATGTTATCCACCAGAGTCTTCAAGGAAGCAAGGTAATCAATCATAGATTTATTATGCAAGGACATTGAATGGAGCTCATTCTTCAATTGGATAACACAAGAACGATTGGTTTAAAAGAATTGATGTTCAAGAGTTATCCATATCGACGTGGTGTTGAAATTTAAAATGTATGAAAGGATTGAAACTAAAATGATGAAAAAGATATCGACGGAGAGGTTTTGGTCTACAAGAGTTCAAGAAGAGAACTGTGGATTAAGAGTTAGTACCCCAGTTGCAATAAGAAGATGCTTGGAAGGACAATGTTGGCTACCGTCAAGGTAGCCATAAAAGTTATTTGCGGCAAAGAGTTTTTGAATGGCTGAACACCATGTAAGACAATTGTCAGGAAGGAGTTGAATGTTTATCACATTCTTAATATTAGAGAAGAAATTTGAGAGCAAAGAGGATTAAGACATCGGAGGAAGCTGGTGTGTTGGTCATCACTGCAGGAGGTGTGGATGTAGCAGATGATGCTGCTGAATCTCCCATTGGGATCGAAGAAGAGACCAACTAGGCAGACGACTTTGATACCATGTTGGAGCCAACATACAGATTGCTGGTAAGCATTCCAACAAGCAGGATAAATAGAGAAAAAAATAACCAAGTGGAAGAGAATGGAAGCAGTTTCATTGCATTCTACTGTAGCAAAGCTGGCGTATTTATACAAGTTTAAGCAAGTAAAGAAAAGTCTAAACTACTCTAGTTAGTTACAAAAGCGAAAAGTAGTACGACTGAGCAGAGGAGACAACGACAACAGCTGAAGAAGACAGACATATATGTCAGCTAGCGCACAGAGTTGTTGGAGCTGAAGAAGTCGAAATTCTGCCGTCACTAACCAACATCTCCTGATACGCTCATATATATCCTTTTGGATCTCTCCCAAGTTTGTTTTATTGTAAGGTTATTTGTGTTCAAATTCAAATGACATAAAGTTATATTGCTGGAAGTGGAAGACAAACACAATTCTTTATTATTCTGACCCACATTACTGGCAACCCAATTTACAAACTACAACCAGCAGTCATTATTGCATTATCCAATTCTACAGCCAGAAGAACTTTTAAATCATTAATATCTTAAAACATGAAAAAAAAAAAAGGAAAAAAATAACTAAGAAAACGAAAAAGACCATAGTTATAAACCACAAAACTGTTCATATTACAAAACTCTTGAATGAACAGAAGCTAAATTATAATTTCTATAACAATCGGTGGTATCTAAGAAGAAACACCAAGCTTCGGTAGGAGACTTCTCCATGCATCAGCAATATCATGGGAAAGTTTTGCTTGTCCTTTGGCAAATTCATGAAAGGCAAGACCTAATTCTGCAGTTTTCTGTTCCTGGAAACGGGAAAGCTCTTCATTCATCAGTTTAACAATCGTTTCATACCTTCTGGTTGCTTCCTCACTCTCTGCTTTTAGCTGTAATTCAATGCAATATAAGACACCAATACAAATCTGGTTCTAAAAATATTTTCCAAATCAACAACAAAGAACTCACCTCTCTGAATTCAATTTCAGCTTCGCCAGCTCTATCTGAGCGAATTAGTGTCAGCTTATCACTGTAAAACAAAGGATGTTACACCAAACAATGAAACGAAGACGATAACAGCAAGAAAATGAGATAACTAGATAACTTCCCGTATTTCCATTACTCTGAAGGTAAGGAAAAAGGGCAAATTGAGTGTTCCCACAACTCGACAAATAAACTGGAAAAATAAGGAGTGCAGACAGCCCAATTCATTCATTGCTTATCCTAATATCCCAAAGAGGAAGCATTTATATACTCATAAAGACTCTCCAAGACAAAAACCATCTGGTACTCACCAAAATACTCAAAACAGCTATATCAAAATTATTATAACAACTATATGTTTGGAAGTTTCTAATGTGCACCTATATTTAATATTAATTAAGCATTATATGCTATATAAAATCTTATGCTAATTAAATCGTGATCAAATTAAGATTCTTATTAGGCTTTTGAGACATTTGTCATGAAATTTATAATATGGAGATACCGAGTACTTAATTTATTTTTATGATTAGTTAAAATAAAATTAAATGCACTTTAGAAGGAATAAAAACTTCGTCACAAGCAAAGCAGTTGTTATTTCATTTGCTCCATTCTAATCGCGAGTGAAAGAAGGACATTGTAGGGAATTATTTCAGATATGTAAGACAGAAAATTTATGTTTCAATGGAGTATCATGGTTGAAAAAATAAAAAAATAAAAGAATGTTCTCAGAATACCAGGAGATAACAACTAAAACTTGCATCTTACAGGTTTATTTCCTTCAGCCTAATTGTTTCTGCCAATTCATAGTGCTGTCTGAAAGCATTGGCTCTGTCCGTCATTGTCACCTGGTTAGAATAGCATATGAGTTTGCATCTCATGTTTAACAAAAAATCACTAAGAATTCATCCAGCTATTGAGGGAGGGAATAATTTCTAACTGTGGCTACGAACAGCACACAAATTCTGTAAAAAAGTGACCTTGATAGACTGTACTGCACGAACATAATCTTTCAGCGGTTCTTCAAAATTCATGAGCAGGTTGTGCGCCTGCACCGAGAGAGTTTATCGCATGATGATTTTAATAAATTATAGTTTCCTTCAAAGAAAGGATTCCGAAATACCAGCTCTTTTGCCATTTGGAAAACTAAATATATAAAAATATTAAAGCTAGTTTATATGCAGATCATTGATGTATTTACACATCTAATACCTAAGTTTATATATTTATATATCACTAAATGAAAAAATAAACTGCTATCTTTAACTTTATCAAAGAGAAATATGCTACACATATTTTGACGTGGTTTAAAAACTAGATTTCAAAGATATAAATATAAATATTTAGATATTAGATATGAACATATATAGGAAATCAGTGGGATGTATGTAAATCCCCCTAATGTCAACACTCCCAAAAGTTTGGCTGCTTTTTAATACCTCTTTTTGTAGTTTTATCGACATCATCTCAGATTTTGAACCAAGCTCAGAAAATGCCTTTCCAAGTGATTCACCTTCACAAGCACCGAGGAGCTTGATCGCTTTTCCAAAATCAGAAAGTGATTGTCCTAACTCTGGGAAACAGTCGATCAAGAACGTAAAGTTCTCGAATTAGCTTTTACTTCTATAAATAAAAGTATTGGAGTAGAAATGAGAATGAAATAAACAAAAAGGCAAATGAAAAACTACTAAATAGAACCTCTGTGCCTTTTTACAAGTCGGAAAGCCTGCTTTTGTGCCTCAGCTAAGTGGTCTTCGAGCTCAAAAATGTAATGTTTCAATTTCTCGTATTCAGGAGACGACTCCTCGACAGGTTTCTCCTTCCCCAAAACAACATCACTCACCTTAGACTGCACATCCTGCAACAGTCAAACATGCAGGTAAACTATTTCTACATGGCTTACTGATGTTAAAAAAGCGGTATTGTAGCAGCTTGTGGCACCCTCACAAACAATATAAAAAAACTAATGGCACCAATAAACAAAAAAGGTTATGCCAAAAGGTATACTGTTTTTCAGACAAGTAGCTGACATGATAGATGACAGTTGAACACGACACGCCTTTTACCAGTGCTGTTAATTTGCAACGTAGTGATTGTACCCGTGTATACGCAAGCCATTCCAAAATGAACAACTCACATCCCTTAAAGTTGACAGTACATAAGATGACAACATTTTTTTTATCAGAAAAGGAAGAGAGAGAAAAACCAGAAAAAAAGATATGTTCCCAGAGATATTCGATTTGGTAATGGTGCGCTGGTCTTTGCTTTTAAGTTAATAAAATGTAGGATAACTGTATATATATTTATATACACACACACGTAGGAATGTAAGCCAACCCAGTAATTTTCATGAACAACACAGTTGGTTAGGATGGATTAGTGTTTGTTCGTAAATTAAATATAGTTTTGAAAATATTAGAATATAAACAAATTAATATTAAATAAAATGTGTATATTTCTATATTTTAGTTGAAAATTTTTATCTGATATTCAGATTCTTGAAAGTAGTTCAATAATCAACAAAACCCTATCAGGAGCACTCAATGCATAAAATAACTTCAATAACCAAAAGGCCTGTACATATACCTTAAATATTTGCATAAATTCTGAAGGTTTCTTCTTGAAAATTCCTGTTTCTTGAGATCTTGTCCTTTCCATAGTCTGAAAGCAGCACGATGAAGATATTGTCAGTATGTTTGATGAATATATTTTATATTTAAGCTAGAAAACAACACTCACTTTAAGATATATAAGGATAAACAAAAACAGGACTGCATTTATTCTTTAGAACACACCCCCCTTCCCCCTGCCACGTTATGGATAACCTAGGTAATGGCAAAGAGAATCAGTTTTCAAGTGAAGGGTATGACAAATACTATTTCTGATATTGACGCCCAGGCCAGTCTAATGTATGAGAAATGGACCTGGACGGTGGTCCGAGCTCTCCTTTAGTAGAACCCACAGGAATCCTTCACATTTTTAGGTGGCCTTGCGAGCAAGCAGCCTTAGCTCAGAATAATAATTTATTAGGAAATGCTTAATTTAAAACCATCATTATCAGATCTCAAATCCTAGATGAGAAACGTAAGGGTTGCATTAGGTGATCAATAGTCAGCATAAAACTTATCAAATAATCAATGACATGAATCATTTAATACATAGTACTAATGCTAGGGTGTTCCCTAGAAGCGACACGTTGTATAAACTCAATACAGCGACAAGTGATCAAGGGCCGCCGTACCGGTGCCCGGATGCAGTGTTAAATAGGCAAGGGTTCCCACATCATGGACGGATGTGGGTAGGGGTGTAAGTGAGCCGAGCCGGCTCGTGAGCCGGCTCAAGCTCGACTCGTTAACGAGCTCGCGAGCCGAGCTTATCGAGCCACGAGCTCGAGCTCAAACTTGAGCTCGTTTGTTAAACGAGCTCGAGTTCGAGCTTAATAAGGCTCGGCTCATGAGCTCGCGAGCCGACTCGAAATTATTAAATTTAAATATTTTAAAAAATTAATAATAACTTCATTTTAAATTACCGTCTGATTTTTAAACTCCCGCCTATGCTGGCTCAAATGTCAATCGCAAGCCTCTCTCTCTCCTCTAATAGAGGCATAGTATAATGGCAAAACCAAAAAAAGTAAAAAACTGATCTCTCTCTCTTCTTTGACAGAAACAGAGAAATAAATTGCAAGTATTAAATGATAGATGCACTCTCTCTCTCTCCCTCCCGCTGCAGCTGTAAAAGACAGCCAATCAAATCAAATTTTTTTGAAGAAAGAGAATAAATCTCTTGCTCTATCTTCCTCCCATGAGTACTTTGAGTGCACCAGTGTGTGAGCCCGAGCACGTCGGAGGCTCGATGAGTAGCTCGAAAACTCGTTTATGGTGGAACGAGTCGAGCTCGAGCTCGATTTTTGAGCTCGACTCGAGTTCGAGCTCGAGCTCGAGCTTGATGTTTGACAGTTGAGCTCGACTCGAACACCTCTTGACTCGAGCTCGACTCGGCCCGTTTGCACCCCTAGATGTGGGCAAAGAAACTAGTACATGAAACTTAAATTAGGATAAGAACTTAGAATATAAGTTCCCATACAGGTAAAGTAATATAATTAATAGTTATTGTGATTTAGAGAAAGATAAATATTCTTTGCATTTGAAAAACTAAATGGGTTGAAAAAAAGGCAAAGAAGATTGATAGTTTAGGATTTAGATTATAGTATTCTAGTAGGAGTCATACTAGAAATGGTGTAAGTGTGATTATAGATAAGAATTTGAAGGATAATGTTATAAAAATTAATAGAATTACAGATCTAATTATAGTTTTAAAGATTATTGTTGATGCTATTATTAATATTATAAGCATTTATACTTCTCAAGTAGGTTTGAATGTATTCAAAATTAAAATTTTGAAATGACCTAGAATAACTAATACAAAAAATACCTTTCAAAGAAAAGTTTTTATTTGAGGATATTTAAAAGTATTCATGATGTCTATGACTTTGGAGTGACTAATGAAAGTGTTAAGATCATATTAGATTTTTTATTAGCTTATGATTTTGTAATTGCTAATATCTATTTAAGAAAAGATATGAGCAACTTATCACTTATAAAAATAGATATAGAAAAACTAAGTTTAATTATTTTCTTATAAAAAATAGATCATTTAGATTGCAAAGATATTAAAGTTATTCGTGAAGGTTTATATACTTAACATCGCTTATTAGTTTTGGACTTTAAGATGAATGGACAAAAAATTAAAAAATAAATTAAATTATTATTGTAGGATTTAGATGGGAGCATTTAAAGAATATTAATCAAAATATTTTTAGGAGTAAGATTGTAGATATTAAGATTTTGTGTGTGCATGAGGAAACTAATTTTATGTTGAAAAAAGTAGTTAGTGATATTAATGTTTAAAAAGATATGCTTAAAATATCAAAAAGAAAAGCTACTAATAGTAAAAATAATTGGTGGTGGAATCAAAATGTACAAGAAAAGATAAAAAATAAGAAGATTTTTTTATAAAAATTGGTTTAGTTGTAAAAATTCTGATAATTGAGAAAGATATAAAGAGGCCCGTAATGAGTCTATAAAAGTAATTTGTAATGCAAAGATTTTAGATTCATATAATAGATTAGATATTAAGGAGGACGAAATATATCTGTATAAGTTAACTAAACAAAAAGATATGATTAGTAAGGCTTTAGTTAAAGTGAAGTGTATTAAGGATGAAGATCAAAAAGTACTTTTTATTAGAATAGGATATTCAACAAATGTAGATGAGATATTTTGCTAAACCTTTTAATGAAGATTATGGGAATGTGATTGACTTTAGTGACCTTAATATCCTAAATGAAAATAAAGATTTTTATTTTTATCAACGTATTAGTAAAACCAAAGTTAAAGAGACTTTAAAGAAAATGAAGTGCGGTAAAGCTGTTAGACCTGATGATATTCCAATAGACGTGTGGAAATACATAGGAGATGAAGAAATTTCTTAGCTTACTAAACTTTATAATACTATTTTGAAGACTAAAAAGATGCCAGATGAGTGGAGAATGAGTGTGCTGATTCCTATTTTTAAGATAAAGGTGATGCACAAGATTGTATGAATTATAGAGAATTTAAGTTAATGTGTCATATTTTAAAACCATGGGAGGAGAGAGTTATGGAGCATAGGTTGCTTTGTGACACAAATGTTTCTCAAATCAATTTGGATTCATGCCAGAAAGGTCTACTATGAAAGCTATACATTTATTTAGATGTTTGATGGAGAAGTATAGAGAGAATAGGGAGGATCTACATATGATTTTTAATGATTCAAAGAAAGCATATGATAAAGTTCCAAGCGAAGTGCTATGGAGAGATCTACATAAGAAATGTGTTAATAATACTTATATTCAAATCCTTACGGATGTGTATGCAGGAGATGTTACTTGTGTTTAAACACAAGGTGGTTTGACCAACTGTTTTTCTATTTCAGTTGGATTACATCAAGAATCAGCCTTAAGCCCATATCTTTTTTCTTTAGTTATGGATGTTCTCACTAGATATTTGCAAGAGATTGTACCATGGTGATGTAGAATGGAGCTAGAAATTTAAATTAATACCTGATTTGGGGATAAATTAAAGAAAGGACATCAATTCATAAATTCTGGATTTAATTCCATCAGTTAGGAAAGAAATTCAGAGTTAACTAATGCTTAGGTGGCTAGAGAAATTAAAGCAAGAATCAATTTGGATTGATGTGGGTTAAATGACTGATGTAATTGGGGTGGTTAATTGGGGGGAATTAATTAAGAGAGAGGGAGAAAGGGGGCCGGCCAAGAGAAAGGGAGGGGGGTTATCCGCATTCAACGAATGTGTTTAGGTGCAATGAATCTTGAAATTAGAATTAATTCCAATTCAATTTCAAATTTTAATTAATCCAAGATTGAAGGGGGTTCCTAAAATAAGTTAATTAATTTAAGAAAGGATTTGAATTTCAAATTTAGTTGAATTTGAATTTAAAAACTTTCAAAATTAATATCAAACTAATTTAGGAAAGAGGAAAATTAAGAAGAGAAAGGGACTAGGGGCCGGCCATGCAAGTGAGAACTTGATTGGGGATTTGAAATCCTTTACAAACATAGGACATTAATTAAGAAAAGAGGATTAGAGGAGAAGCTCTAATTAATGTCATATTGAGGAGTTGGGAAGGTTTCCAAAAACAAGTCAACTTATTTTAGGAAAGAATTCAAATTCAAATAATTTTGAATTTTGAAAACTTTCCAAGTTTAGAATGGACCAAAATAGGAAGGTATTCAATACCTCAATTTGAACAATTTTTTTTTAGTCAAAGGTGGAAGGGGAGAGGCCGGCGGCTTGTAGGATGAAGAGGGGTTGGACGAGATAGGGAAGAGAAAGCGGAATAGGCCGGTGGATTGTGGGGTTGGGGAAGATTGTGGTCGACAGATAGGAAGAGAAGGAAAAGGGAGTTTGGAAGAGATAAAACCACGAACTCGGACGCTTCCTGGGGTTGATGGGTGATGCGTTGCCTTTCACCTAGGAACTTCAAGCCACTAGTCCAAACGATTCTTGCGGCTGGTGGGCATTGTGTTACCCTTAAATCGGGACTTGCACTCTCCTAAGAACTTCCATCTCTCTCAAGAACAAAGTGCAGAAATTTTCTTCTTAAAAATTCATTGATCATTACAAGAAAGGAGGCTATAAATAGCCCAAAATACATAACAAAAGACAAAAGTGCCACCTAGGATCACAAGCACCTACTCCCTCAAGTGAGGGTAAAAATAGAAAATACATAAATAAATAAATATATAAATAATAACTTAAAATAAAATGGTGTTATCATGGTCGTTGATCTTCGTCTCCTCCTCTGATAAGCTTTCATGGTCGAATATCTGCACCACCTGGTGTATGCTTTTTTCTGATGACATTATTCTTGTTGATAAAACTAGAGAGGGAGTCGAAGGTAAACTTGAATTATGGAGGTCAACCTTAGAGTCTAAAGGCTTTCATTTGAGTAGATCTAAAACTGAATTTATGGAATATAATTTTAGTAATAATAAATCCAGTGGGTATTGTGACTTTGGGCGATCAAGTCATTAATAAGAGCACATGTTTTTAGATATCTTGGATCTAATGTTTAGAGTGATGAGAAAATAGATGAGG